CTTGGGGTTCTCTGAGCTTGGCTGTTTTCTTGCAAACGTTTCGTTACCCAGCTAGGTAACATCTTTAGTGCTAAAATGGAATGGGGTTTGCTCTCTGTTTATATACAGTGGCATGCCCTGCCAGTGTTGGTGGGGGTGGGGTTTTTGTTTTGTTTTATGTTTTTCCTCTGGTAGTTCCTTGATTAGAGTATTGTTTACTGCTTGATCGTATGTCTTAGATCTTAGACCAAGCTAAATCCAAAAATGTGAGGGAATTCCTGGAAGCTTGGTATTCAGACAAGGCAGCCATCAACAGGCACATAGAGATAAACAACATCAAACACCAAGATTATCACCAGACATACAGTCAAGCAGTAAACAATACCCTAATCAAGGAACTACCAGAGGGAAAAAATAAAACAAAACAAAAACCCCATCCCCACCAACACTGGCAGGGCATGCCACAGTATATAAACAGAGAGCAAACCTCATTCCATTCTAGCACTGAAGAGGTTACCAGCTGGGTAATGAAAAGTTTGCAAGAAAACAGCCAAGTTTAGAGAACCCCAAGGACTCCACAGAAAACATAGATTCCAGATAACATTCCAGAAGTGACAAATTTATGGGTTATGTCATTCTCTTTCCCAGCTGGGTTTGTATTTTTAAAACTTACAAGTGTATTCAAGGACTTTTCAGAATATGCTCTCTAATGTTGAGTTGCTGACAAAACCAAGTTCTCAAATATACCGCAAGAAATGGCTTTGGCCCAGAATTAAAACATGCTTCCCTAAACTCAGAAAAGAGGCCTAGACTGCCATGTTAAAAATGCTAATATCACCTTTTAAAAATGCTAATAATGAAGCCTAACATTCCAGGTAACAGTATGAGTAGTATGTTAGGACTATTTGTAATTAATGTTTTACATTTGTGTTTACAGGGAATATGCTGGAGGTAAAACTATGAAGAAGTAGCAGAAAGAATAATAATGTTTTTCCGAAATCGTTTTCTGTTTCTGTTGGCTTTAGCTGCCTTATTAGCCTTTTTGAGCCTTAGCCTCCAATTCTGTAAGTATAATTTTATATTATAGCTGAGAATTGTAAATACTATCTTCTTTTTATTACATTTTTAATGTACATGTAGAAGTGAAATCAAATAAATGTCAAAGTAATGTGTGCGCAACATGGGGAATAACTATCATTTTCTGCTTTCTAAAACTGCATAATTTTGAACATATTCCAAACAATATTAATTATGATTGTGCAGGCTGAAAATGATTGATCTGTTTGGCATGTAATGTGAAATAGGGAAAGAGGTTTCTTTTCCCTCCCATGTTCTGCAAAATACTGAGTTTATTTCATATGTATAGATTTTTATAGACAGATGCATATTAATTGTTACTTTTCTCACATTAGACTATTTTAATAATGATATAATTAAAACATGAGCATCAGACTAATTCTCAAATACATGAACATGAGTATAAGACAGGAAGGAGGTAAAGCATAATCAGTCTTGCAAGATTAGGTTATTATGTACTTTTAATCTTAATTTGGAGTTGATTTTATGGTTTGATCTACCTCTTGGGGCTGACATTAGTCCTGCAGATCTGATTATATTTTACCTCCTCCTTTTCTTATGCTAATGTGAATGGGGTGTGTGACTGTCTGAGATGTTTACACATACCTTCTTTATTCCTTCTTCATTGTTTGAGTTTAAACAGTGTTTTTCTCCTCACTGCTTTGGTAACAGATCCCTCAATACCACCCTCTTTACTCTCCACACAGTGTCACACATCAGAGTTAACAATGAAAGATCACTACAAATGGGTGACCCTAAACCCACAGCCACTCAGTTTTGTCAGGATTGAGCCAAAACCTGTTCTTCCCAGTCCAGACCCATACAGCCTCCAGGCACTGGGAAAGTATCCTGATGGCATCTCTTGGATAGTCTCTTGGGGCAAGGATGTATAACTATCATCAGCATACAAATGTTATTTAACCCCATGCTGATAGAAAGCACCTTGCCTAGTGCTTTCATTTATATCTTTAATAGTGCAAAGACAAAAAGTTTTGAGAGCTCTCCACACTTTCACAGGGAGCAATTCTTGACCACCCCACCAACACTTCTACCAATCATCCTCTTCACATAATAAAACCCTTTAACCTTTCTCCAACATAATAAAATCTTATAACATCTGTAAACAGTTAAGAGTTCTGACACAAACATATGGCCTTGGGGAAAAATGTATTGATGGGGTAGAAAGTTATGCACCTAAAAGCTGATTCTAGTACTTGTAGCTATACTTCCTTCAGTCCATTCGGGCATGTTGATAGGCAGTACCAGGAACGGTTGCCTTTTCCACTGAGGCTGTGGTCTTTTCTTCATAAGTTTTAACTTGATGTCAGCTGATGAGGAATACTCCTGAGATAAGGGATATTGTTGTTGTTTAAATGCATATATTAGTTTCTGTATTAAATAATTTGCTTAAAAAGTTGTTAATTCTACAGTTATTTTCTTTAAGAACTATTAATGTTAGATGGTTGGTTAAATAAACTTTTTGGTATATAAATACATTTGATATTTCTACAATATGAATAATTATAGCATTTATTACTTATTAGATATAGGTATTCTCTTTTTACTTTATGAAAATACATTGTAATTTTCCAGGTATCAAGCAAATACTGCTTCAACTGATCAGTCATTGTCACTGACAAGCCTTTGAGTCAGTTCCAGATGTGTACATTGCAGTTTTAAACCACAAACTGTTATGGATTTAGATTGCCACTTCTCTAATCTATGGAATAACAGTGGAATATGCTAAGTCTATTGGACTTTTGTTAGATAATGTATAAATCCCAGAGAAGCATTCACCATACAAGCAGCTTCAACAAACTTACCCATGCTGATACTGTTCAAATTACCCCAGCCCCTTCACAACATCCTAAAATGTGATTATAGTACAAGATTCTTTCTGCAGAAGTCAGTGTACTAAAAATCACAATGTGCATAAACATTTTTGTCCTGAAGACGTCTATCTTATAAATATGAATAGTATGGGAGATACACTGAAAGTAGAAGAAACGGATCTGTGAAAGAGCTGTCAGACTCTCACACCATGTCTCAGCAATAAATCATTCCTTCCTGTTGAAGGACATGGCCAAGGAAGACAGAGGTGAATACTATAGCCAATCAGTAGGTTACACAGATAGTGCCAGCAAGAACGATTTGGATTCTTCACTCATGAGATGCATTTACAAAATGAGGAACTCCTGACAGGAGATGAACTGCACCTCATGAAATCTGGAAAGAATGTGTTTGGAACAGTAATTTAGTTACCCTAAAACCTGTGCAACACAGAAAGGGGGACCCAGAAAATGGTGCAACACCAAGTACTGTGAACAGGACTGGGAATGATATACAGGATGTAGAGGCACACAGTAATGAGCACATAAATGCAGGAAAGAATAAGTCAAGTTTTATGATCCAAGATTTTTATTGTGTGTGGTTTTTTTTACAAGTGTATAAAATATGGGGAACTAAGAGAAAGAACTAGGAGTCTTAATGCAGACATGATTTAGTAGGTATTATTGAAGCCTGGTAGGACAAAACTCATGAGTGGAATGCAAGCATAAAATGATATAACTTATTCAAAAAGAAATAGGCCAACTGAAATGGGGAGAAGGAGTTGCATTATATGTGAAAAGAAAATGCATACTTGTGTAGTAATTTAGAAATCTGAACACAGAGTTCATTTGAGAGTCGATAAAAACACAAAGAAGAGAAATAATGTGTGTGTGTGTATAAGGGTACTATGGAGTGCCAAGTTAAGCAGAAGATCTGGATAATGCTCTCCTGAAGCAGATTGCATAATTTTTAATTTTTAAGGAGAAGAGGCAGTAATAAACTGACTTTACCCAAACCAATGTTGGAAAACCATTCAGCCAAGGCTGCATAGTCCCAAAAATTCCTCACTGTCCTTTTCCAAAATGTTGAAAGAGAGATAAGGCTTTTCTAGACCTAATCCTAACCAATAGGGAAGACCTGGTTGAAGAGGTAAAACAGTTGCAAACTTGGGAAGAAGTGACCACATCATCTTGTGTTTCAAGATACTACAAAATGGAAAATTGGAGTATGGTCATATATTCACACTAGATTACAGGACACCTAATTTGAACAAGTGCAAAAAAGTAGAGACAGAATCCTACACACAAAAATCCATAGCTGATATCTGTAGAAACTTGGCAAAACTAAAGCTCAACATAAGAAAGTAAATGAAAAAAAAAATCCTTTTGGCTATGTCAGTAATAATAGGCAGGGGGAGTGGGCCTGCTGCTTGGAGAAGATGATAGCATGATGACAGGGAGAAGGCTTTCAGCTCCTACTAATAGACCTAAGCAGCTCAGCTGACACAAAGAGGAAGTGGTAGCCCAAGATAAATAAGTAGTAAGGGAGAGCCTTACTACCATGAATAAATGTAAGTCTCCAGGACCAGATCAGTTATATCTGAGAGCCTGGAAGAACTGAGTGGATGTCATTTTGGAGTGCTTTTCTCTGATCTTTGAGAAATCATGTAGTGCCAAATGATTGGAGTAGGGCCCATGTTCCTATCTTCAAAAAGGGAGGATAAAAGGGGACCTGAGTAAAAACAGACTGTCAGCTTAATATTAGTAGTTGGCAAAATTCTGGTCCAGGTTATTAAGCAGTTGGCTTGTGAGCATTTAGAAAAGAAAACATTGTTTGGCAGAAGCCAGCATGAATTTATCAAGAAAAAGTTGTACCAAACAATTGGATCTCTTTTTTTGGTAGAGTGCTCAGTTTAGTGGACAATAGGAATACAGTGTACATAATGAACCTTGATTTCAGCAGAGCATTTGTAATGAGATCCTAGTAGAGAAGTTGGTAAAATGTGGGTTGGATATATGCAACCATCAGATGGATACAGATCTGATTTTACTGTTGTATCCAACAAATGTACTTCAGTGGCTCTGTATCAAGCTGGATGAAAGTGTGAAGTGGCATACTGCAAAGCTCTGTTATAGGCCCCATGTTAGTCGTATTTAGAAATGACTTGGACGAGGTCTAAGAAAATATTATTACTATGAGAAAAGATAAGGGGCATAGCAAATTTGTTAGACCTTGCAGCAAGATTTAGGAGGAACCTGAAAAACTAGAACAATGGGCAGAAATCAGCAAGATAAATTTCAATAAGGACAAATGGAAGTCTCCATTTGAGTAATAAAACTCCAAGGCAAGAGTATAAGATGCAGTACATGTGAAGAAGAACAAGGTGTCAGTAGATAACAAGATTACATAAACTACTGTATATGATGTATTGTCGAAGGCTTTCACGGCCGGCATACGATGGCTGGTGTGGGTCTTCCGGGCTGTTGGGGCGCGGGTTTTTTTTTGTTTTTTTTTTCTTATATGTCTCGC